AGGGGTAGTTGGGGGAACTGTTGCTGATAGTGGTGTTGAGAGAGGTGGTGTAGTACTTGGTGCTGTTGGAGTTGATGCTGYTRGAATTGYTSCATTTGGGCTTGCATTGCCCGCATGCATTGCATCAGGTCATCAAACTGGTTCTGGCGGGTCGCCAGGGGGACAACAGTTGGTTCAGCAAAAGTTGTTTCGATAGGGAGTGGAAGAGGGACGTTCGTGGCAGGAAGGTTTACGGGCGCCACTGCTTGTGGCGCATTCAAGCTGGGGATCCCATCCATCGGGAGGGGGATGGTGAACTGTTCGATGCACACCACGGGGACTTGGAGTTGTTCCCCGGTGGCGTTCATCTCTGTGCCACGTCCGACATTGCTGGAAGAAGCCATGAGTGTTAGGGTTTTTTGGGAAAGGAAGGGGTTATTAGAGTTTTAGAGGTAGGCTTTTAGAAGCTTTCCCATAGACGACGCCAATTGATGGTGCACAATCCGGCCGGTCCTACCTGTCAATGACCTTGCCTCTGAACGGAGCTATAGGGAACCTGAAATGGAGAAGATGAGGAAGCTCCGGGGGGAACCCGGTGTGATTGCTACGAAGCTCAAGTTAGAATTCTCTTAAAGGCAAGATAAAACCAGATGGTGCAAAGTTCACATGCCTTGTTCTTGGGGGGTAGGGWGCCTTTTATAACCACCTCGCGCACTCACTTCTAAGCTTCTGTCAGATCGGGTATGATTATTTCTGAGCTTCTACCAGTTTGGATGTCATCCCCTTTGCTGGACAGAACCACCACTGCTCTCTTTGTCGGAGCCGTCTCTGCGGCTGGTGACGACGGTGGCAGGTGGCCGTTGGAGTGCAGCTGTCAAGCATCAGATCCCAAGTCAGTCAGGTGCGCCGCCCTTGGATATAGACATCCTCGGTGTCAGGTATGGTACGTTTGTTCAGTTTGGCATCCTGGAGGTGAAGTGCTGGAGTGGTGAGCGAGGTGAAGTCTTGAGTTCGGATAGGGGAGTGTCCCGAACTGCCATGGGATGGGCCGGTTCGGGTTGTTGCCTTGTGTGAGGCTCGGGGCCTAAGGGAGAGTTCGGGCTCCTTACAGGGAGTTCGGGCTCCTTGTAGGGAGTTCGGGCTCCTTGTAGGGAGTTCGGGCCCCTTGTAGGGAGTTCGGACTGCTGGTTCCTCCCTTCGGTGCTCGCGCTTTGGGCGCGCTGTTGCCTTTGCCACATTGAGTGATTACGTGGTCGGGCCAAATTCTCCTTCATCACAATCCAATGATGAGAGCTTTGCGTAGGATTTGGATTAGACCCAGATTCACTAGGGTTATTACTGAGAGTTTTTTGCAAATCTTCAATATGTACCTTGGCTGAATTAACCATGCTTATTGGAGAGAAGTTAATACCTTGGAAAATTGCTTAGTTTTTGGCCTTCCAAATGTACCAAATAAACACCTTACCTTGGGTGAATATAGGTATGGTGGAATGGCTAAGAGATGTTACTCAATTGACCCTGTTTGTAGACTCAGTTTGGAAAGCTCAGAAACTTTTGGAACATTTATTCTTATCTTGCCCAACAGGTGGTCCTATTTGGCTAGCTTCTCCTATGAGTTTCAGGGAAATGGAAAGCAATTTTGGAGATCCTTCCATATGTTCATTTGTAGCTGGAAAATATTAATTCAAAAACCACAAATATTGCTCAGAACGTTCATTGTTCGTTATCCATTTATGGACATTTTTCTTCCTTTAGCATCTTGCTACAACTAGTGTCTTAGTTGGAAATACCCTTATATTTTTCAATGGAAATGCCTTCAAATTATGGCCAAAAAAACTGGACAGTTGAGTTTCTAGGGGCTCTTTTTGGAGTGTAATGATGCAATCCCATGATTTAATTGGATATGGTAATTTTCTCTTTTTGGCAACCAGGTCTTGTGGCATGCATAATCTTTAGGGATGCCAGTAAAACTAATTTAAGGTCTTTTCCATAATAAATAATTGGAGATTTTTCATATTCTCTTTCTTTTTATTATGGTGTGTTTTGGAGGGGTCAGACACTCTAGTTAGGGCATAACCACATGTCTGTGTATGGACATCTACTGGGACCCTGGGCGAACTGAAAATACAAAAGAAATATATTTCTAGACATCCWAAATAATTTGATATCTTGGACAAGGACACAGTTAAAAGATACACAAGTACATGTTAAAGAAAAAACCAGACTAACAAGGATGGTTTTAGTCAATTTTTTTAAATTGAGAATGGTATTCCATAAATGGATTTCTCTTGTTTCCTTTATAAGAAAAATTTTATTACTCTTAATCTGATGCTGATAGTGTATTCTTCCTGTTGATGCTTGTGGTGGGGATGGTGCTCTTGCATTTTCCACTCTGTGGTTTGTGAAGCGTATGACTGAACTGAGTAATGGGAGACAAATCTAAATATTTTATTTCTTCATAGAAAAGGAAAATGTTTTCATTCATTTGATCCAAGCCTTGCATTTATCCTACTGTAAAAATCTGCATTGCATCTGAGGTCTGATAACATGAAAGAGCTAAACCAATTATGTTACAGCCTCTGATATGTGCTGTTGAGGAGAACCAAACAGTTCTTGATGATACACCTGATAAACTTGGTTTAAAAGAGGTATATATAACATCCTTTGCTTACATTTCTATTGTGATAAACTATTTTCTTCCTTATATTTGGCCATCTGAGAATTTGGGTATATGAAAGAATGGTAAATATCATATGCAAGTCAAAGTTTCAAACCATTGGGAAGCTGTGGATGTCATTGCAGCTCACAAGGCTGGGGTAGACCCAAAGCCGCTCCAAATAAATGCAATAAATCAAATTAGCTCTTCCGTTGTACCTTCTTATAATGACTATTTAGCTCGAAGTGCCGCATGTCTTTCTTGATCAATTCTGTTTTTTTAAGCTTGCCAGTTTTCGGTGTACTACACAAGTTTATTTTGTAGCCATTGTTACGGTCAGAAGTAGGCACATTTTTTTTCTTTTTCTTTTTCTTTTTTTTTTTTTTTACTGTAAGCCATTGTTACTGTATGGTTTCCTATCAATGTATCAACAAATTTAATTCTGAAATGGAAGTTTATGTTTTCTGCAATGAGTGGTCATTGATACCCCACTTAAAACATTGCTTTTAAGCACCTCTTCCAAAAATGCTACCACTCACAATAACCAGGTGGTTCAAGCAATCTGTGCAAACTATCATAAAGATCAACCAAATAAAGGGCTCTATCGGGGCTGAAGCTTGCTACTAAAACTTGAAATATTCCAATATTCCTAGGTAGTAAAGATCTCTTATCTTTATGTTACAARACTGGAAAAATTCCCTTAAGGTGGTGGAAACAACCAATCAAATCTCCATTAGCACTAGATTTTTCGATGTTGGAGTAAGCAAACGATTAATAACTCTTTTAAAATGTTTGAATTTGGATTTGCCACTGAAAGGGTGATTTCTTGACATYCAAAGTTGTGGTCTCTGATTTAATGTCACAACTCACAATTACCATGCGCAAGTCTGTGAGCCAAGAGTTTAGCATATATTAYCACCAGTGCTTTTAAAAACCAGCAGGACTGGGACCAACAGTTTAAAACAGGTTCAGTGGTTAAACTAACAAACCAATTGAATTGCACTCAGAAACAGGAATGGTTTCAGGACTGACTTAAGAACTTGTTTAATGCTTCYCATCACTCTTTACACWAATTTCATAAAAKTTTAATGGTTACCTTACAAGATTAAGAAGAGAGAGAKAAAAAAGAAAGAAAACAAGAAGGGTAAAACACTAGACCCAAAATGAGGTTCCAAACAATTGAATTAGTAATCTCTTTCTAATCAAGCTTTGTGACTATTGCACCAAAACTGATTCAAATAACACACTGGATTTCTGGCATTATGCTGTGCATAAGGAAATCTGCCATATGCTTGTAAGCTTTCTCTGTCAAATGGATGCCATCCCAACTCACGTGTGTTTCTGGGTCAGGACAAACTGGAACCCCAGGAGCTCCACACATCTTASTCAGATCRAAGTTGTAGTCACCTCCAGTTCCACAGCAGGCTTTCTGTAGAGATTTCTCTTCAAATCCTGTACTCCAAGATAAAGATATACGGAATGAGGAAAAAGGGATTGATAATTGATTTTTAATTTTCCTATCAAGCTACAAAATGATTATTTGGCCACAGAAGATGAAAGCAAACTTACCAAGAGAAGGAGCATGGCTCAGTACCCACTGAAGGACAGTGTAGTAGTCAGCATATACAATAGTGACATCACGGTACTCCTTCCTCAGCTGTTTCAGTGCTCTTTGGAGGTTATCATTGTGAAACATTACCAAGTTATTCAAGCCTTTCAGGCACTTGAGTTCATCATAAGCTGCTGGGTCATCACTTCTAAAAGCTGTGAGATAAATTGGCATGCATCCTATTGGGAAATTGCCTGGAACGATCACTGTTCGTGCCCCAAGATCTATCACTTTCTGCACACAACATGAGACGATAAAGCTTGAGCAATAATATTTCAACCAAGTAAAAACTAATCAATCAAGATTACAAATTAAAGAACCTTTGCTTGGAAATATAAAATGATAATGTTGAGGAGGTAGACAAGAGACTTACTCTAGCAGCATCCTTGATTTTCTGGAGGATATAAGGCACATAACTCTGAATCTCTCTTATTGTTTTTCCTTGAAAGAATGCATAGTTATAGTCATTCCCTCCAATCTCTCCCACTAGAAATAAGGCCTTTTCGAGCTTGTGGGCACACTCTAAACAAAGATCAAAGAAAATAGGCAATTCAACAACTGAAACTAAAGAGTAATCTTCTTAATTGGAACTGTAACAGTGGTATAATTGAGCAAATTTAAATCAAGCGTTCAATGTGACATACCTGTATTGGTGTAGCAGATGGATTTTAGATGGTCTTTGGGTGAGCAGAAACAGCAAGTGGAAGAAGGAAACAACTAATAATAAATATCAGAGACAGAGACAGCATCGACTTCTTGTTGATGGCCATTGTGGGAAGAAGAAGAAGATGAAGAAGAAGATGAAGAAGAAAAGAACTTAATAAACAGAACTGCACAACTATTGATGATCGTAAGCGAGAGTAATGGTACGTAAGTAGAGGCTCTATTAATTTATAGATGAAGAGAAAAAACAACCTAGTGTTACGTTATTTCTAGTTGTAGTTGTAGTAGGAAACTGAATTTGTCCGCCCCCGGATTAGGCCTTTAGACTGCCACCTTAGAACTCAGGCGGTGGTCATTAGTCCGCCCCCCTAAGCCTTTGTTGGCTTACATCAAGGCTGCTGCCCTTGACGACTAGTTCGGGTTAAGAATGAGGTCTAGAGTCAAAAAAGGGCTGAGTGACAGCAAGAAAAAGGAGGATGAAGGCAAATGTTAGCTAAAATGGGAAACACGTCGTACATATGTGATAGAAGAAGTGAATGTGACGCTCTTCCCATTGTTACGAAGAAAAGTCTCACTTTGACTCACCTTTAAAACGTTTTTTGATTTCCTTTTTTTTTTTATCAAAATTCCTATAATACAGTACACCTGCTTTGCATTGTATCACAATCACGTTCCTCCTCCACTAGTCCACTGATGCCAACTGTAACTGCAAGGTGGGGTATTGTGAAAATTCCCCATCCCCCCCGCGCCCCCCGAGTTCGAGTTTGGATGGGCTTTATCAATTATCACAGAGCGCGCCCGACGCCCCGTCCCCTCCGTGCAATTTGGGGAGATGTTCCTAATGCCAATGGGTTGTTGGATCGTCCAATTGAAAATTGCTCCTGTTATGAATGGTCCAATTCACAATCAATGATGATACCTTGTTTTCCAAAAGTTTTGTACATTTCGATGACGTATCTTTGAGATTCACTCTGAATCCGACATTTTTTTTTCTTAAGAGTGAACTCTGCCATTGAATTGGCATTGGCAACCCAGTTCAAAATGAGAGGCTGAGGTTGATCGTCCTTTCAGATCAAGTGTACCATCCATATTTCTCGCCAAAACCAAACCTAATCACTGTGATTTAAAAGCTTTTTATCTTTTTAATTAATCAGTGTACTAGGGAATAGGGATTGCATCATAAGCTTTGAGGGCTCTTTGATATTTTTCCTCTAGACCAGACTGTATTTAAGACCAAGGCAACCTATGATGATGATAGTGAGATGAGTCTCTAACGAGTAACGACTCGAAGACTCCCTATGATACACTATGTATATGTTTGGCGCTGATGGGTGGCTCCAGGAAATACACTATGTATTTAAGATTAAGGCATTGTTGGAATCATTGCTGTCAGGTAGGATGTTTCTTGGAGCAATAGTAATTTTTTCTGTTTGGTACCAATGCTTTAGGAAACGTTTTCTGTACTTCTAACCATTATCCATTGCCACATCACTACCTTATTGGCAGCAACAAGCTGCAGCTCCAGGAAATGCCAAATTTGGCATTGCTCCAAGCCATACCTTCCCGATTTTCAAGGCATGGCTTGGAGCACCATTTTCTATGGAAAAACAGTTCCAAATAGAAGGTCGTTTCCTGGTGCATCATTTTTTCCTACATGGTGCTGATGTGGCATTGTTTTTTGGAGCAACAACAACGGTTCCAAATAGACGCTATAGCAAATATTCCAATGGTTAAGTTAGCCCAAGTAGTTTGAAAGCCAAGGTGTCGAGGTGCTTGAGAGTTAAAAGCAAAGGTGAAACAGTGCATAAGAGACATGCATGCCTATTCTTGTCCTACTTAGGTGTGGACCTTTTAAATGTGATGTTGGTGGGGCTTTGTAACACTTCTCACATCGCCTTGCAATGACTACTAACTCTATTAAGAATAGATACCACATGGTCAAGCCTTCAATATACATTGAAATCGAGCATAAGCCTTTCTTGCAAAGAGCTAGGGGTGAGCAAAAAAAACAAAAAATTGAACCGATTGAAACCAAACCAAAAAATTGGTTAACCGAATTGGTCGATTCAGTTTCGGTTTGGTGTTTTTAAAAATCAAAGGTACCAATTCAGTTTCGATTAACCAATATAGAAAACCGGTAGTTAACCGAACCGATAGGTATATATATTATTTATTATTTAAAATATAATATTTGATATATGATGATGCACGTTTTGGCAGTTCCCGGCTGGCTAGTGACTCAGATGCCTAGCTGAATAATCCCTACCTAGAATGTGGCTTAGACGCCTAGCTGAATGGTTCCTACCTGGAAGGTGGTTTGGATGCCTAACTGAATGGTGACGAGCTGGAGAGGTGAAGAGGTGGCTCTGATGCCTAGTTGAATGGTGACGAGATAGAGAGGTGGCTCTAATGCTTAGATGAATGGTGACAAGCTAGAGAGGTGACTCTAATGCCTAACTGAGTGGTGACAAGCTGGAGAGGTGGCTCTGATGCCTAACTGAGTGGTGACAAGCTGAAGAGGTGGCTCTGATGTGACCTGCAAGGAAACATTGTCATAGTGCTCGGTTGCTTTACTCGGGGTGGGCACTCCGATACTTAAGTCAGCGAATTAGAGATTTTTAAGATAGCTAAATGTGAGAGAGCTGGAGAGCTGCAAGAACTTGCGCTTCTACTTGGGTCTCAGGGGCTGATGCCCTTATATAGCTGGGCTGTTGTGGGTCTCGCGAAATGCTCCTGGAATCCTTGACCCACGACGTAGGGATCCATTCTGCTTTGGAAGGAGGATAACGTGCCAGTTAATAAGGCTTATCGTTTCTCTCCGGTTCAGGTAGGATGAAGATAAGGCCTACGGTGGTAGAGGTAGGTCGCCAGGTCGGCCGCAGAGGTAGGTCGCCAGGTTGGCGGCAGAGGCAGGTCACCACTCACCAGTTGGGACCCCATTTTGGCTAAGGCAAGTGTGTCGCCTAGGTGATGTTGGGATGTAGTCCAACTGTTCTGATATGCCATGTGTCATGATGTCAATGGAGGGCAAATTTGCCCCCATCAATATATATTTATAAATTTTTATAACATATGTATATATATATATTATAAAAAATAAAAAATAAAAAACTGACAAACCGAATTGATGGTTAACCGAACCGGTCAATTATTTAACCAATTGGTTTTGGTTTGGTTTCAATTATCGGTTTTCCAAAAGCCAGTAGTACCAGTTCGGTTACAAAAAAAGACCCATGATTTGGTTAACCGAACCGTGAACACCCCTACAAAGAGATTTCTCTGCTTATTAGTAGGCCACCAGATATTACATTAATGACCCCAACCAGGAGCCTATTGGTTATGAGGTCAGGTTGCTTTGAGGTCAATCCAAATTTTTGATCCTTCCAAATGAAGTCTTTCAAGTACCTTTTTTTATTAGAGCTTCTATCTTATTTTTAAGTTCTCGGCACTCATTCATGTCATGGCTGATACCTTGGTGGTACTTACAATACTTGTTGTAGTTTCCCTTCGTTGGGTTTTTCTTCATTTTTTGTAGGCCATTGTACGTAGTTTTGCTTCCCAAACTGCATAAGGATGTGGCTTCGGGAGGTGTTCAATGGAGTGTAGGCTTCATACGAGGGTGGTACCTACTTGGATGATTTATCTTGGATTGTGAGTTTCCAAGCCTTAACTCATCCTATCCTTCCTCTAAGGTAGGGATGCAAACAGAACAAATCGAATACGTATGAAGGTATATTCGAATCCGAATCAGATTCTTTCATATCAATAGGGGTGATCTGAATTCGATCTGCTTTTTAATTGGGTCATATTTATCCAATCCGATCTAGAAATCCATTAGATTCTTTCAAATCAAGAGGAGTGATCCGAATTTGATATACTTTTTAGTTGGATAGTATTTATCCAATCCAATCTAGAAATCCAAAAAGGGGGATATTTACCAAAATAAGATTGGATATGATTCGATCCATTTGTACTCCCTACTTCCTCTTCCTACCTTTCTCCACAACTTGCTTGCTAGCTTGGGCCTCTTCAGCATTTATATACTTTTTGGCATAAGATAAGAGCTCAACCATGGTACGAGGTGGTTCCTTAGCTAAGGAAAAACTAAAGGAAGAATTCAAATTGTTGGTGACTGTCACTACTGCCATTCAGAGAACCATCATTAAGCTGCTTTCTTCAATGTGGCCTGAAAGGCTTGGCATAACAGGGCATCATAAAAACCCATGCAATAGCATCATAGCTCGAAAGCTTTTATGTGGTCCTTTAGGTCAGTCATGCCATCATATGTCTCTAGGTAAGGAGACTTGAAGTACGAAATGAGAAACTCTTAGGTGATTTATTTAGTGAAAGCGGTCTCCATCGAGGTGGTGTGACTTGAGGAGGCATCCATTCTGCCCTCCTTCACTTCTTTGATTTCTGATGCTATTCGATCCGAGGTGGTGCACGAACCGAGGTTGTAGTCAGATAGTCCTTGCCAATAGGGTGGAGCCGAGGTGGAAGGATAGAACCACGCCTCAAGACCTGTGATCAAGAAAGGATGTCAGAGGCCCATGGAGTTATCCCTGGGTAGATGCTCTGATGCTCAAGTTAGTAGAAGGTAGTGGATGGTTGGGCCGAGAAATGAGGGTGCTGGTCCGAGCAAAGTGATAGTATGGGTGCTAGAAGTCGAAATCCCTTACCTTGAGCGGGAGACACCTTTTTATAGCCAAAGGTCCATGTCCTGGTCGGATTAGGCTTTTGGGGTTGTTGGGATGAGGTTAACCGCCTAGGTTTTTGGGATAGAGTCCTAATCCCCAAGGGAGTTGTCCTCATCCCGCCTCCTGTCCTTGGTCGTGCTTATCCATGTGACATGGGGCTGGCGTGGCTGAGAGGATAAGGTGGGGGGCTACGAAGATGGTGTAGCGCAGTCATGGCTGCGGAGTCGGTGTATTCCGTGGAGCTGGTCGGGTGATGCCGACGTGGCCATGCTGATTAGGCGATGACTGGGTGGCCATGTGGCATTTAAGGCCAGCTCAACTATGACTCGAACACCACTCCCCTAGTTCTGAGGTCGAGGAATGAAGTGCTCATCCGAGGTGTAGTGTGGCAGGGCACTTTATTTCTTGGCTGAGGAACTCCAAGTTGAAGTCTTGGTTGAGCGTTTGGTCCACTTAGTATTCCTCGGTGCTTGTTAGAGCTTGGTGTCCGCGTAATGCGGGATGCGGCTGAGGAGTTTTTGATCGTCGGCTATGGAACTTCGAGAATTATAATTTTGGAATCTGAACCACTCCCCGAGTTCTGGAGTCGAGGAGAGGAGTGATCAGCTGAGGCATTGTGTGGTTGTTTACTTCGGTTAGGCACCGAGGAGCTTTCAGTTGGTCTTTGGAGTCTGAGCTTTTCTGATGCTTGGTTGTGCTACGTTGTGGAAGGGCTCTTTGTTCTTCAGTTGAGAAACTTAGACTCGAAATTGGAATCTGAACACCACTCCTCCAATTTCAAAGTCGAAGGGAGGAGTGCCTGGTTGGGGTGTAGCGCGGGCTCTTTGGTCAGAGACCGAGGTGTATCAAGTTTGACGTCGGGTTCATCGAGGCGGTGGCGGACCGAGGAGGTTTGCTGATTTGGTTAGACCGGTGCTTTGGGGTGAACCGGTGTAGTTAATGCCTGTACCGTTGCTTGTCAAGAATGTCGCTTCGATTCCCGAGGCTTCACGCGTGCGGTGACAACCGCATCGATTGGTCTTCCCAGGCTTCATCAGAGCAGCGCTTGATCTCCACCATTGATCTGGCTTCAATTTGAGCCTTTGGAGGTTATAAAAAGAGGAGGAAGGGCATTTCTCCTTTGTCATTTGCGAGAGAGACTACTTAGGGAGCTCGGCGAGGGGTTGTTGGCATTGCTCAGTTTCTACTCTAATTCCATGGCTTCAAGTTCGGTAAGATGTCTTCCTCGTCTTCCCGTTCTTCTTTTCTTCTTCTTCTTCTTCTGGTTCTTCTTCCAGTTCTAGTGATTCTAATTATGAGTCTGAGGCCGGGGAATTTGAGGGGGTAGAAACGGGAAGACCCGCCGATGTCGAGGAGGCCAGGGTTGGTCCTTCGAGCATGGAGGTAGAACTTCCTACGCGGGCTGGTCATCGGTTCGGGACCACCCCTTGCGGCTTGACTCTTAGGGACATGGCTTGGATCCAATCCCTATATGACATTCCCGAGGAGTTTGAGATGAGGTGTCTGCAGGCCGACGAGAGGCCAACGGATGCTCGGCTGGGCGAGGTGTGTGTGTATGAGAGAAGCTTGGAAGTCAAGCTGAGGTTCCCTTTGCACGAAGGGGTAGCCAGGGTATTCGAATGGTATCTGGTGTTGCCAGTGCAGCTGATGCTCAACTCCTTTAGATCATTGCTTGGCCTTATGTCATACTACTTTGTCCATGATGTCGAGTTGACCCTAGGTATGGTGAGTTACCTTCTCCAACTGAAGCATCACTAGCAAGGTTACTACTATTTCTCGGCCAGGAAGAATATCAAGGTGTTGGCCGGGGCTCCATCCTTAGTGAAGCACTGGAAGGAAGGGTTTTTCTTTGTGCATTGTCCCGGGGGTCTGCCTTTCCCAACCGTGCTGCAGAAATCGAGGACGAAGGTGTTGCAACCTAAGTGGCACAAGCTTACCGAGGAGGAGAGATCGGCCCTGAACATAATTGGCAGATCGATGTGATGGTGTACACATGTTCCGAGATGTTGATTCTTATCGGATTGATGCATAAGGTGGCTGGTCTTTCCTGTTTCTTTGGTTTGTTTGTCTAATCTTATTTTTGAGCTTATGCTTGTTCTGATGCGATTCCTTGGTGCAGGTATGGAGATGGCAAGTGAAGAAGAGATTGTCCGCAGAATGAAGGAAAGTTAGTTGAGGTGGAACTGGGATGGTGCACGGCCCCAGTCGTGCTAGGAGGGAGTTCCGCCGCCAAGGTCTTTGCAGAGGGCATCCCAATAGTAGAAGAGGGCCTGGCAGCGGGGGAACGATGAGGACGTGGTGGTGGTGGACCCGAAGGAGGCTTATCGGGCTGTTGTTCCTCCTTCTCTGCGGATGGAAGTCAAGGGTAGCAGCTCGACTATCCACAAGCTGCGGTGGATGGTCCGCTGCGAAGACGGGCTCGAGATGGAGGGGGTGTCAGGCAAACTGGGAGTGGCACTTTGGAATGTTCCTTCATCCGGGTCGCGGCAAAGGTAAGTTCGGGCATGCTTCTGTTGTTTGACTAAGTCGAGTTTCTTCGTGATGATGTGTCTCTCCTTGTTCGTAGAATGCATGCTTGGCGATCGCTTTGGTTGACCATCTTCGGCAGCTACGGAGTATGTATGAGAAAGAGCACGCCGAGTACCTGAACATGAAGGCCCAGTTGGTTGAGCTTCGAGCAGCCGACGAGTGCACTCCAGTGATTCTGTATAGCCCTTCCCAGTTCAGTTCGAGCTTGCCTTCTCCTAGCATGGGCACTATGACTTTGCGGAGGACAAGGTCACCAGTTTTGAACTCCCGTCTTCAGACTTTTGAGTTGTAGTATTTGGCCATCCTCTACTGTTGTGCTGTAATCCTGATATGTGCTTGGTCCCGCGCTTCTTCCACCAGGTCTAACTCTGCGTGGAGGTCTTCATCATTCTKCTCTTCATTGTAAAGTTTGGTCGGGAGAGTCGGTGAGCTTATCTCCACGGGTACCATGGCTTCGGCCCCATAGGTCAGGCTGAAGGGTGTCTCTCCAGTCGCCATCTGCGGAGTAGTCCTGTATGCCCAGAGTATGCTCGACAGCTCCTTGACCCACCTTCCCTTGGCCTGGTCAACTTTAGTTTTTAGGCCGTGCAATAAGGTTTGGTTGGTCACTTCGGTTTACACATTGCTATGAGGTTGGTGTACGAAGGTGGTGCGATGGTCGATCTTCAGGTCAGCGTAGAGGGCTTCAAACTTTCGGTCAATGAACTGCATCCCATTATCTATGATGAGGACCTACAGAATACCGAACCGACAAACAATACCTTGCCAGAAAAATTTTTGGGCATTGTGCTCAATAATGCGTGCTAGTGCCTTGGCTTCCACCCATTTGGTGAAGTAGTCCACTGCCACCAAGAGGAACTTCTTTTGGGCCACCGCAGTAGGGAAGGGACCGAGGATGTCCATGCCCCACTGCGCGAATGGCCACGGGCTGGTGATCGGCTTCAAGGGAACCACTGGTTAATGGTGAAGGTTGGAGTGTTGCTGACAACTGTCACACTTTCGCACGAGTTGGGCTGCATCCTGCTTCATGGTTAGCCAGAAGTATCCTTGCCGAAGTGCCTTGTGTGCCAGGGTACAAGCGTTGGGGTGGTCTCTGCAGATACCTTCGTGTATTTCCCTAAGGACATAGTCGACCTCGGGAGGGGGAAGACACTTCAAGTATGGGGGAGTATGTGAGCATCAGTAAAGCTGTCCCTAGATAAGGCAGTATCGGGTTGATCTTTGTTGGAGTTTCTTGGCTTCTGTTCGATCTTCTGGGAGCGTGCCATCCCGGAGGTACTGAGTGATTAGATCCATCCAGGATGGGCCATGCTGTATTGGAAGGACGAGGAGGGCCATGGGTGCGATGCTCGGTTGGGCCAGAGTGTCTATCCGCACCCTGGAATCTAGGTCGATCTTCGGCGAACTAGCTAGCTTTGATAGTGTGTTGGCTCAGATGTTTTCGGCTTGGGGGATCTATTGTATGTCGAACTACTCAAGCCTTTGGATGAGTTCCTGCACCTTTTGTAAGTAGCTTGCCATTGTAGGTGTCCTTGTCTCGAACTGGTTGTGGATCTGATTGACAACCAATTGAGAGTCGCTGAACGCCTCTATTCTCCGGGCTCTGTGGTCTAGGTCAAGTCGAAGTCCAACGATGAGGGGTTCATACTCGACTTCATTGTTGGAAGCCTGAAACTTGAATCTAAGGGCATGCTCCAGTACTATGTTGTCTGGGCCGAGTAGGATGAGGCCGACTCCGTTGCCTTGTTTGTTCGATGAACCATCCACATGGAGAGTCCATATCTACGGCTCTAGGGCCGGGTCCTATGTAATGAAGTTAGCCAAGGACTGGGCTTTGATTGCGGGTCGAGGTGTGTAGTCGATGTCAAATTCGCTCAGTTCTACGCTTCAATATCTTTTCAAATGTTTGAGCCAATATATAGGGGTGTAAATAGGATAATGTAATATTCGAATTCGAATTCGATTAAAAAGTTTGATATTCAAATTTGATGCGATACCCGATGGATATTGAAAATTAATATTCGAATTCGAATTTGATTAAATATTTGATTCAATTCAAATTCGACTAATTAATTATTTTAGGAAATTAATAAATATATAAAATAAATATTTTATTTATATAAAGTATATAAATATATAAATTGTTTATATAATTTAATTATTATATATATAAATTATATAAAACATTTAAAAATTTTATATATTATATAACCAGTTGAATTCGGATATTTATTGAATCGAATCAGGTTGTATCCGAATTTGAATCTGATTAGCTATTCGGTATGAATAGGATATCCAAATTTGACCGATTAGATATTCGAATTATCCAAATTTGATTCAATTGTATCAAATCTTGAATTGGAAATTGGATTTTCGAACATCGTTGACACCCCTACCAATATGTGCCAAGTGGGCTCATGCTGTGTTGGGTCGTAGGTGGCCCATTTTTTAAGAAAAATGAAAATGAGAATGTAAAAATTAAAATAAATTAACAATATAAACAATAATTGAAAAAGACTTAAATTTTTATTCGATATAAATTTTGATGTATATAATTGTTTATAAAATAAAATTGAAAATAAAAATTTATACACACATGCACACACACACACACATACTAGTAAATATGCATGTACAATGCATGTGGCAATTTCAGATAACATTAATAATTCCAACATCCTTATTAGAACCATTTGAAAATGATAAGTAATTAAAGCATGGTGTGATGGTGGATTTAGATTTTATGTTTCATTTTCATTGCTAATAAAAAAAAATACTTATAGTTTATCATATTTATTTTTGTTTAATATAATAAATATATAAAATAAAAAATGTGAAAAAAATTATAGACAATTTTTTGTCTTCTCTATATTTTTCATTTCTATCTAATTTTTGTGTTTTTATTATATAATTATGAAAACATGCTTTAATTATATAATATGACCTATACATAATATTAGAGATGCACCCAAATGCTTTTTTTACAATTTTTTTATGTTTTTAATAATTTTTGTGTATCTATTTTTTTTTTTATTTTTATTATTTATTTATGATATCATGGGTTGATCCATTTGACCTAAAAGGTTGAACCATTGAACCACCACTTAAATAGGAAAATGGTTTCATTTTTTAGTTAGCTTTAAATTTCATATTTCATTTCCATTGAAATCCTTGGACATATCACCCCATATTTGTGAGGGCATTGGAAATTGTTGCAAGAGGCCAGGTGGACTGGCTTGTTGCCCCCAACACATTGTCACTTATTGCAAGACTTGATAAACTCTTGGACACGGTGCTTCATACCCTTCCAATAGAAAGTGTTGCACAACCTTAGTATGTTTATTATTGTTTGATATGATAAATAGATAGTATTAGAGATGTGCATTTATAATTGTTGTAGTATTTATATTTATTTTTAAATTTTTATTATTTAATTATGAGAACATTGGTTGACCCATTTGACATGGATGATTGAACTATTTACTTGCCACTTACACAAAAAGGTGGTTTATTTAATTATTTTTCATGTTGGTTTTGAACATATGTTTTACATTATTAAAAATATTAGATACGGATTTAATTTATAGAGTTTATTGGTCAGAAACAAAAGTACTTCAAATAAAATTTTTAAGGGAAGAGAGAGAGAGAGAGAATGAGATTTAATGCCTTAATGAGAGGGAATTTAATGAAGTGGAATTTTAGGGGTATTTTAGTAAAAAAATCCCACAAAACTCATTTATTTAATGTGCCTTAAATATAAGATTTAATGAAAGGAAATGAGAGTCAATACTTTAAATATAGGACTTAATGAGGAGGAATATAATAAACTTAATAAAATTAAGTAGTTTTAATTATATTTGTTTTGCCCTCATAATATAGGGAGACCAAATTTAAAAAATAAGGGTATTTTAGTAAAAAATTTCTAGAATCTAGACCTATTCACACTTTTAATAATACTCGTTTGTAGTATATGTGTGTGTGTTAGGCCAGCACACAAGCCGTGATGGCATGGCCCACTTTGTTGTGTTGTATTGTACCAACCTGTAGGCCTCAAAACCCAATCCTAGCATGGCACGGGTGTTTAGGTGATCCTAGCACAACCCACTTGCTATAGTGACCAGGTTTAGTCATGTTGGGCCTTGCCAACCCGTAGGGCGAACCCCTCGAGGTAGGATCTCAATCATGGTTCGAGTGGTTTCTTAGCCAAGGAAAAATTAAAAGGTGGAGAGTTCAAACCATTAGCGATTGCCACTGCTACCAAAACTTGATTAAGCTCCTTGACTTCAAGAGCCTTGACAATGAACCTTTGAATCTAATCCTAGAGCAATTCACCCAGCTTTTGTCTTATTGACATCAGGGTTGTTAAGGTCTTTTGGCAACATCGCCTGCTGACAAAGTGGGAGAGTAAGATGTCTATAAATTGCTCCCATGAACTAATGGAGCAAGGGGCAGTTTAGAGAACCATTGTTGAGTTGCTTTCTTCGGTGTAGCCTGGAAGGCTTGACACATCAGGGTGTTGGAAAACCTATGCAATAGGATCTTAGCTTAGAAACATTCTATGTGGTCCTATAGGTTGGTCTTGCCATCATATGTCTCCAGGTTGGGAGCTTTGAAGTTCAAAGGGAGGTGCTCTTAGGTGATTAAAACAGTCTCTGCCAAGGTGGTGTGACTTGAGGAGGCGTCCATTTTTCCTTCCTTTACTTCTTTGATTTTGGTATGAATGGCACCTAGTTGGGTGGCCAATTCATCAAGTCTCCTACCATGCTTACTTGCCAGAGGTGTTTCTTGTAGCTGTCTCCCTAGCCCATGGTGGTTGAGGGTCGTTTTGGGAGTATCCCGACAATGTGGGGTTCCCCTCTGAGCTTGGTAGTTGTTCAAATGGTCACAAAGATCTCCTACTTGAATTAAAAGGATAGGTTGGTGTGCCAGGCCACCTTGTTGGTTCATGTTTTCTTATTCCAATTATGGTTTAAAGAAACATGTCTTCTTTTGGATATTTAATATCATGTTCCATTAAATCATATAATTTCTATGCTACAAAATTTGTTTTTTAGAAGCTATTACTTTAGGAGTTTCAAAAACATATATTGTTTTCTGAAACAAAATAAACTTGTTTTTGCTTTCAAAACAAAAATACAATTCAAGAGCGTGCTTTTATTTTTTTCTGCTAATGGGGCAATTTTAAGAACAAATGGAAACAAAAATCATTCATGTTGTAGAATACCCCCTTAAGCATTCTAAATATTATTTACCTTTTAATTGTACTATTGGATTCTTTATATTTTCCTAATGACTAGCATGTATTTGTAATAATTCCATTATTTTTAAGGGGTTTAGTAACTCAAAATTTTGCTTGAATATCTATATCTTTGCTAGTCTTTGGCCATGTTTGGGAGTGCTTAAAAATAAGTGCTTATTTGGGTCGAGACCACACCATTAAGTACTTATTGGTGTTTGGGAAATAAGCCCGAAATAAGTGCTTATTTTAAAAATAAGGGCTTATTTTTAAGCCCAATTTTTCAGCTTTTATTAAGTGCTAATACAATTAGTTATTCAGTTTTCTTTCTTCCAAAATTATCCCTATTTGAATTTTAAAATACCTCTCAGAAAATTATCCCTAGTTGAATTTTATAAAAGTATATTTTGTAAAAGTTCTTTCGTAAAAGTAATTCCCTAAAAGTATGTTTATAAAAGTACTTCTATAAAAGTGCTTTTATAAAAGTACTTTCATAAAAGTGCTTTCGTAAATGTACTTTTATAAAAATTCTTTCATAAAAGTACTTGCATAAAAGTGCTTTCATAAAAGTACTTTCATGAAAGTGCTTTTATTATAGTGCTTTCGTAAAGTGCTTTCGTGAAAGTACTTTTACTTTTGTAAATTTTGAAAGAAAATGAAGGACAAA